TGTAATTAATGGGCACAAATGTATATTTTATTTTAACTGGCTGCACTAGTCTGTCCTTGTAGTAGGTTCCCATCAGCATCTTGGACTTTTCACTAAGATGAAGCATTTTTAGCACTAAAGGGAGGGTGTCAAGGCTGGCTCTGGCCTTCTTGGTGAGGACTTGGCATTGCAGAAACTCCAGACCTAGTGGAGGGAACACCCGCTTGGTTGTGGGTTTGTTTTTTGGTTTGTGGTTTGTTTTTTGTTTTTTCTTTTGTGGGGGGGGGGAGGGGGGACAGGGGGATGGGACTTTTTAAAGACCTCCCCAAGAAAGGTTCCCATAAGTATATTTGCCCAATATGGGCCATGTGTTCTATAGTCATGCTTAGTGTTGGTCACGTTTAATCAACTTCATAGTTTTTCTATTACTGAGCACATGCTGCTTTAGGCAACAGGTTGATGATCAATTATGTATTTAATGAGGTTTCTTTGTACATGACTATAAGACAAAACCTTTTGTCTCGTATTGGATTAAGTATGTTACATGTTAGGAGTGTCAGGGGCAAGTGCCAGAGAAGGTGTGTGTGTAAAAAGCATAAGGGCACATGCCAGATAAGCTAGCACCACATTGTAGATTAAGGAAGAGTCCCGTGCTTGGCAACCCCACAGTAGCTCTGTGGGAAAACTAGTTTTCCCCTTGTTGGGTCTGGGGTTTTCTGACCCTGAGCAATCTAAGGGCTGGGCCAACACTATCCCAGGGGGAAGAACTCTTTGCTTCACCGTCAGAGAGTGCTGCTTTAATGTCTAGATGTTTTACATGTGAGGCATTTTAGAAGAGTATTTGGTGACTTAGGGTTCCTATACATGTGCAGGGAGGCTGCTCAGACACATTGCATTTATAGCGTGTCGAAGCAGACTGGATGAATCGAGTCTGCTGGAGCATGGTAATTACCGTGCTCCAGCAGACTCCAGTGTTATGTATATTGGTATCCCATGCTGGAAAATGGCGGCAGGGGTGCTTTAATTAAAGCTCGAGCTTTAGTTAGAGTGCCCCGCCATCATTTTTCAGCACGGGAATACTGATGTACTTGACATTCTGTGTGCTTTAATCAGAGCAGCTTTCGGAGTCACTCTAATTAAAGCCCTTCCTTCTCCTCCTCCTCCTCCCCCCTGTGCCCCTCTCAGAGCCATTAGTTTCTGTTGACTTGAAACACAGATATTCTGCTGTACAGTGGTGTGTAGAATTTTTTTTCTTTTGTTTTCCCCTTTCCCTTTAACTCTAGTATGCTCTTGCTAGTTAAACTCAGCTAAGGTAGCTTGCAAACATCCTATGACATCTGCCTGGCTTTGCTATGGTGTGGTCTGGGTTTGTTTGCTCAGCTGCACAGAAGTGGGGATGGTTTGCATAGGATGTGTTCTTGGCCATGAGTGCTAGCAGAAAGGAACCCAGTCATTGTTTAACAGAGGGGTGTGGGGGCCATCTGCCAGGAGCATAAGGACTGCACCCAGGTTGTACAAAAACCCTGTCCCACTACCAGGCAGATCATGATGAACAAGTGAATTGGGGTGGGGGGAGGAGGTGGGGGAGCAGTAAGAGCCTCAGTGTGAGCAGTTCTCCATCCAGGACCCTGCAAGCAGCTCAGAATGGCAGCAATGCATGTTTGGACCCTGGTTCTTGTGCATCTGCGGTCAGTCTGAAGGCAGCTGTGTGTTGCATGAAGCTTTGCGGGCCACATTCAATACCTGGTCATAGGTACATAACTGGCAGCTGTGCCTACTGAAGCAAGCGCAGGATTGGGGCCAGGATTTTAGGGTTCTGATCCTGCCTTGTGCATTCAGAAACACAGCAGTGTTCAAAGGAAATCTCCTGTTCACCTCCTCTTCTGGCCCACCTCTTTCTGATCTCCAGAAGGGGGTTCAGTAACTTACTTTGTGTTATGCAGTGATTTGGCAGTAGAGCTGGACACTTGACTCTTGGGCAGTGCTATAAGCTTGAACCAATTGCACTTCCTTGGTTGTGAATTGTGCTGTCCCCTTTCTCTGTGCAGGCTTGTGGTGGCTGTTGAAGAGGCTTTCACTCACATCAAGCGCCTCCAGGTGGAAGAGCAGCAGAAAGCTCCAGGGGAGATGATGGATCCCCGGGAGGCTGCACAGGCCATCTTCCCATCCATGGCAAGAGCCCTGCAGAAATACCTGCGCACCACTCGGCAACAGCATTACCACAGCATGGAGAGCATCCTGCAACATCTGTCCTTCTGCATTGCCAACAGCATGACACCAAAGGTAATGTGGCCAGAACCAGGGTGCTGTAGGAACAGACAGGGGACATTCAGCACTGTGGTGGGGGGAAAAGGAGAGTGGGGCAGGGCTGCTATCAGTGATGCTTTGCTGCTTGTTACCTGGCTTCAGTTCATAGGTTGAGGCCTGCTTCTTCCCCTTCCTGCCCTCATAGGTAGCAGTCACTGATGCTGAGGTCCTACCCCAGCATCACTAACAATTCCAGACCCTTGTTTGGAAGCTTCCAAAGCCTATCACAAATGTCTGCTGGAAGTCATACTGATAACTGTGGAGTCACCTCTTTAGAGGTGTGTCCCTAGCCTGTGGTACTTCTGGAGTAGGTGGTTCAGTAAGAGATCTTTGTTGGTGCCAATCCAGTGGAACAGTGTTGGAGGTCCCATCTTGTGCACTGGATGTCAAACTGGGGTCTTCATTCATTGACCAGAGCCTTAGAGTTCCCAAAATAAGTCCTGTGCCAAGGAAGTAGCCCAGTGGCTAGGGACATGTACAGTAGGCCTGAATGGCAGGACTAGCTCCCCTAAAACTAATTTGTTCATTCTCTCTCTGTCTCTTCATCCTGCCATGTCCTGGCCAAGTCCCAGTTGTTCGACTACTTTGTGTCTCCCTCAGCCTCCAGTTGAGCAGTCATTCCTCCCTTGCTGTTCAAAGCAGCTGTGCAGCTATGTAAACTGCTGCTACAGTTCTTTCCGGAGGGGGCTGCACTTGAGTGGTGGGTGATATGGGGCCTACAAAAGGTTTTTTAACATGCAGAACTCCTCTTAGGGATGAAGGCCAGCTCTAGGAGTGCAGGTACTTTCCAGCTTACTCTGCATTAAACCCCCCGAGAACAGCAGAAGCGTTGTGGGGTTAGAGAAGACAAGTTAGATTACCTTTGGGGTGGGGTCTGCTGTGACCTTTTGTAAGGGGGTTTGAATCCCAGCAGGAGCTTGGCACAGGGTGGGCTGACAGCAGAACTGCCCACTCGAGAGTCTTTAACAGAAACTCTAATGTGCAAATGGCATCAAGCAAATTGCTCTAAGTAAGGCTTGTTCTCTTAGGTGTCTCAATGAAAATACTTGCCCAAGACCAAGGGAATCATGAGCACTAAAATTTTCTCCGAATTGTAGACAGAGTTTTTTAGGGGAAGGTGATTCTAGCTCTGCCTGGCTGACCCTGTTCTGGGAGTAGTGAGACCTGTTCTCTTCTGACAGTAGGCCCTTTTGGAGCTAAATTTCATATTTAAAAGACATTTTTGGATACTGTAACTCATGCAGCTGTCTGAGGTGGTATTAAATCCATGTCTACCTCAGCCACTCACTTATTCAACAGCATCTTGGCATGCAAAATGCCAGAACAGCATAAAGTTGCCAAAATGAGTCTAGTGCCAGGGATGTAGCCTGGTGGCCAGGAACATCCTACAATAGAAAGAGAACTTTGTGACAGGCCTGAGTTGCAGGACTGGCTCCCCCCAGCACTAATTCATCCATTCTCTCTGTCTTTAGGCATTCCTGGAGCGTTACCTCAACCCAGGCCCAACTCTCCAGTACGACAGGGATCGCTGGTTCTCCAAGCAGTGGACACTCGTTAGTGAGGAGGCTGTCACAAGTGGATTAAGGGATGGGATTGTTTTTGTCCTCAAGTGCTTGGACTTCAGCCTTGTAGTTAATGTGAAGAAAATCCCCTTCATCAAGCTCTCTGAAGAGTTTGTAGACCCTAAGTCTCACAAATTTGTTCTTCGCTTACAGTCTGAGACTTCAGTTTAAAGGGGTTGAGTGGGGGGGGAGGTGGTTTTTTTAGTTGTGCTTTTTTTGGGTTTTGTTTCCCCAACGCTGACTGAAACTGGCAGTTGATGGACCAGTAATATTTGACCATCTGCACTTTATTTGGAAAGGGTGGGGGGAGGTTGGAATATCTATCTAAAAATATCTTAAGAGGTGACAGGACACCTTGGCTTGGTTAGCTCGGCCTTTGGAGACAGGACGCGTTCTTTCTTGTTTTCCCCATGTGTTTGTAGATCTCTCTCCTTTTTTTTTCTCTCTTGCTCTTTCTCTCTCTCTGAACAAATGCAGCATCTGTATTTTGTTTGGAAACCTGCATTACAGTGATTGGTGTGTGTGCGCATCTGCTTCCTGCACAGGTCAGTTTCTACGGGAATGCATTGTCCAGCTTGTGTTTATGGAAGCCTGTGTTAATCTCGGAGACTTTGTAACTCGTTTTCATTTAAGAAAGTGTGGTGCACAGGCGGAGAGGAGGTTGTTCTACAAATAAGGCACTCCTGTGACTGAAGAATTTTCCCTTAACCTTTTTGCTTCTCCAATGATGCCAGACCAGTATGAGCCCTGGACCAGCAGGGCTGTTTTTTTCCATACTTTTTTTTAGTTTCTGAAGTTGCTTCTATTGTTGATTTGTTGTTGTGACACTACTTTTTTGCAGCTATTTTGGATTTTTACCAGGTTGTTGTTGTTATTATTATTTTAATGAGGCTTCAGAGATTTTTTTTGGCCAACATGGTTCTCTCCCACAGCCTTTTCACCTCTGATCCCTGTCCCACTAATTCAATGGGCAGTCCCATGCTACCCCTGCCTCACAGCTTTCCAAATGCGTTTCCCTAGCAACGGTACCTCCAGGGGTCAGTTTTATTGCCTCGTCCCCACCCAGGGTTGCTATGTGTTTGCACAGTTCGAGTGGTTGAGCTGGATGGTTCTTAGGGAGAGGGTGTGGAGTTTACCTATGTCTGACAGCCCTGCTGGGCACTCCCCTTTCTCCTACAGGAATTTGGAAGTAGCACTCCAGAAGGCTTTGAACACACCTCTAGGAAAGAAGACAGGGAAACACTTAACCCCTCTTCTCATAGAGAAGGAATCTGAACAGGGCAGAACTACTAGAGTGCCATAGTCCCTTAACACAGTATATTTAAATACACTCAGTACATTCCCCTTCTTCCTGCTCCTCCTCCCCCACAGCTATTGCTGAGAGACCAAACTCTACCTGAATGCTGAAACTGCCTGCCTTTCTTGACCGTTTTCCACTGTGTTGGTGTTTGTTCTCTTTGATACTAGACACTGCAGAAGCCTGGCATCTCTGCTCTTTTGTGCAAGGGGTGTCAGTTCTTAAATTTAGTTTTTTGTGTGTGTTATTTTTTAAAACGCTTTCTTTTCAACATTTAAAAAAAAAAAAGACAAGAGACTTAAAATTTAAAGCTGGGCCTCAAACAGGACCCCTGTATCTGAAGACCCTCCCAAATTTGGAGGAGAGGAAAAGTGTTTTGGGTCCTGATCTCTGTTCTGGAGCTAACTGCTGCTGCTTTAACAATGAGCAAAAGCAGACCTGCAGATCCAAATACCTTGCAAATGCTGGGAAAATCTGGGTCCAAATCTGAAGCGAGCTTCATTGCTTGGGCTCCCACCTCTAAATTTAATTTAAGTACATGCAACAGGGAAGTGTTGTTCACCCTGAAGCCTGGGGAGAAAATCTTTTATGATACAGGGGTCTGTTTAGCATGTGCTTTTATCCTTGTTTCTGTGGCAGATGGGTGTGTTGACACATGAAGGCCCCTCTCAGCCAAGTACTGAAGTGTGAGCCTAACCCTAAACCTCAGAGCATTCACACTAAAATCAATTGAACTACCCACTTACTTACAAATGTTCCCAGGCTGAGGCCTAGAACAGCAGTGGTGAGACCATCTGCTAGTTGTGTTCTGCCAAATCTTTCCTGCCAGTCCTATGAGATAAAGTATTGCTAAGGACAGACTACCTTCCCAGTACTTAGACACCAGCTAGGATTATGAAGTAGCCAAGTTGTCTAAGCAGTGTTGTAGACTGGCAGGGAAGCAGAGGCAAAAGAAGGTGTCTTCTCATCACAGAATAAGATGTCTATAGCATCCCCAAAGCACAGGGGAGTGGGTTGGTTGGTTGGTTGGTAAGGCTTCTTGGTAATTTGCACTTGTTTTAGTTTTTAATGGCCATTGCAGCATTTTAATTTTAAAAGCAAAATTTGGGATTTTATGACTTTTAAAAGGAAACAGTTGTATAGCAGGTTACGTGCATAAAAACATTGTGTGTGCATTTAACCTCTTTGAAATGCCTGTAACTGAGAGTGTGGGGGACTGGGATCTGAGGCAGAGAGCCTGGGAATGACTTGCTGGAGCCCCAGTCGCAGTTGAATGGGCTGTCTGCCATCCAGGCTTTCTCTGCCCGGGGCTCAGTGTGAGTTCAGAGTACTTGCAGCCCCACCAGTGAATGTCCATTGCTTCCAGTGTCTCAGTATGACTTTCTTCTCATGGTTCCAGCCCCCTTTACCCCCCTCTCCACAGCTGCGAGTTATTTGATGGTCACTTTGCTCAGGAAACATGTCTCTCTTTAGTTTTTATGCATGTATTTGTGTAGGTGTGTGTGGATTTAGCACAAAACCAAATAAAAGCGGTGTGTATTGGTTCAGCAGCAGTAAACAGCAGGCTCCAAGTGCCACTGCTTCTGTCGGTCAGTGGAAGGGACACTGGCTGTGTCCTGTTGCTTTAAACTGAATGCTCCTAACCTGTTCTTCTGCAAATACCGTAGCTGACTCAGCTTAACAGAGAGACACGCATGGCTGGCTCTTCAACACTAACCCAGTTACTTTACTTTTTTTGTACTTCACTAAGATCAGGAGGCTGGGGACAGGCTTAGTGCTAAGAGTAGAGGAACTGGTGACCCAGACTCTTGGATCTTGTTCCCTGCTCTTCCATGGACTTGTCACTCCACTTCTGGGCCTCCATTCCTTTCTCCCCCCCACCCTCAAAAAAAAAGAAAAATGAGAGACTGTGACAATACCTACCTCACAGGGGTGTTGTGAGGCTAAATCTTAACCTTCTTGTAAAGTGCTTTTGAGATTCTCAGCTGGAAGGTGTGATCTCTCTCCTAATAAAGTACTGTGCAGTGAAACTAGACCAAGCTGTTTCACTTTGTTTCTAGGCAGTTAACAGAGGAGGGTCCAGTGGTGGGACCCTGTGCTGCAGGGCTTGCCCTGCTTGTGTAAAACTTTCAGGGAAGGCCACGGGGAGCACAACATGGCTGAGGCATGCAGGGTTTGTCTTGCAGGGAAATCATGCATGAAGCTACCCAAGTGCAGGGGGCACCTACTCTAAGTAGAAGAGTTCTCAAGGTTCCCAAGTCTTGGTCCTCAGCCCCAACCGTGTCCTTCTCAGAGGAAGCTCTCACAGACTTTCCCTGATGTTACTGACTAGAAGGCTGAGCCTTTCCTTCCAGATAGGACTCCTCCTCCTTCCCCAAGGGTAAGCCATCCTACTTTGCATGCTGCCGTATCCCTTGCTTTCCCCTGTGTAGCACAGACCATCTAAAGACTTGGGCTAGGGCCAGAAGTTGCACATAAACTGGTATAAGCAATTGGAAACCGGTTCAAATTTGTAACCCAACAAGTTCAGTGCACATAACTGGTTTCAGATAAACCTGGATGGATGTAATATCAGACTTAACTGATTTAGGTTAAATCAGTTTATTGAACTTCTGTCCCAGATCCCCTCCAGATTCATGCAGTCTGCTCCAGCAGGGCAGGGAGACATGCTCTAGCATCCCCTGACTTCTGGCCTGGGCTGCTTCAGGCATGCGGCTGCATTTCTGGAATCAAAAGTGAATGTTTGTTCACTTGATTATCAGTTCAATCTACGCAGTTTAAACTAACCTTCAAAGACTGAATCGATTCAGCCTCAGGCTTTTGGATTGTCTGTACTTAGTTAGTCCTGGTGTGTTGATTGCTATTGGGTCACCACCTTGAGGATGTAGCAGGGTACCTCCCAAGTAAGGGAAGCAAGGATCTCTTTAATTGGTTGAAGCACTGTCAAAATGGTGGTTTCCACACAGTATTAAACTTTGTTATAGCAATGGAGCGTGTGTGGGTGTATGTGTGTTGTAGCGTGAACTGGGTAAACATTAGGAGTCAGGCTGGGAGAAAGGGACTGGGATATTAATGTGTCTGAGCAGCTCTCCAGAAACAGGGCTTCATCTCATTCCCCACTACATGCAGACCCCTCAAGCTGCCCCCTCTGCCAGTCTCATGAGCTGGGACAGATTGGAAGTGAGGGCCAACCTTTTTGGCAGGTGTGCCTCAAGGTAAGCCCCGCACCCTCCCTGAACACCACTCAGATTCCTTTCCCCTGCCCCATCTGTTGCTCTGCTTTCTGCTCGCTGTCCTGTTGCTCTACTTTCTCATTTTTGCCTTAATCTGCCGCTGTGTTCCTTGCTCCTTCCCAGATTTGCTGTGTGCCACACAGGCTGCCAGTGCTACTTGTGGCATTTATGCCACAGCTGGCCACTTCTGGAATATTCAAGTTGCTTGGTGGTAGCTCTCCATCCGCATAGAGGACCAGGGAGCAAAGCAGAGATAATCCCCACCCAGTTATTGTTGCCACTAGTGAGGTTGGTTACAGGCATGTATTAGTTCTCCCACTTCTTCCACTGCTGGTTTGGAGTGGTTGGTAGTAGGCATCTTGCACGCTCCACTTGGTGCAGGAGGCATAGACACCAGAGGCAGCAAATTTCCCCCTCACTGGCTCTCAGGAGAAGGGTCCTCTGAGGAGCAAGTCGTAGGTGAGATGGGCTTTATTGGGAGCTCAAGAAGAGCCTATGTTGATGGCAGGGCTTTTGTGTGGCTCTTGACTAAATCCCAATCTTACCTCTCACTTGCATGTGGAAGAGTTTCCGCTTTTCCTCTCTGGGGTTGGCTGCTTCCCAGGTGCCTGGGAAAGTAATACTTTCTTAAAAGCAAATGATTTGTGACCTGTTTTAAAGTCACCTTGACATAGAGGGCAAACCTCCATTATAACAAGCCTCTTGCTTTTAACAATGCCAACAGCGGGAACCATTTTTTCTCATTATTCTGATGAAGCAAATTGACTAACCTTATTGTAGCAAACACCCTTTTTTAATGGACTTTTTTCTCCAAGTTCCATGGGTTCATTATAATGAGGTTATACTATGTACTTAATTAAATGACAACCACAATTTGAAGAAGCTTGAATGTTCAGTAACTTGTTTACCTTTGAACATTGAAGCCTACTCAAGTCAGTGTGGCTCTCGAGATCTGCAGGCATTTCAAAAAGACTGCACATTGGTCCTGTCTCTTTAGATACTAACTTTTTGGGTTTTGGGGGAGATCTATTGTCTGGCACCAGGCTGTCTTCTTCAGATTGTCTTTAGCAGTTCTGACTCACATGAGTTTAGTTGAACGTATAAATATAATCTAATGGTTTCTTTTTATAGTTTGCTCGTATTTGTACTCCCCCTTTGTGGATGTGAATGTTACACTTGTCTAATGCCTGAAGTCAGGACTGGTTATTTACTAATGCCTGTTAAGACTGTCGAGAAAGAAAAGCCACCTTGGCATTTAGTCCAACAATGGTTTTGTTAGGGGACTGTGTGGCTGGGGAGGTTGGTGATGGTTCAGAGGTCCTTTTGCATCCAGGTGACTGGGTTGGGATTCATTCAAGGCGATGGCAATTGCCACCAACATATGGCTGTCTGACAGCTGTTCAGTTATCAGTGTGACTTGTGTTGATCTGTTTGGTTACTCTTAAGCCTGGTCCCAACTGCACCACAACAACAGCTGGCATGTAATAACTGGCCTCTCATCTCTTGAGGAGGCCACCGGGGCTGAATTTTCACCTATGTGTTTAGCAAAGCACATTGGCAGGCTAAAAGTTGTAAGCTGCTGCTACCTGTCCTATGCCTGTTTTTTGGGTGGAGGACTTCATTTTCTAGGGCTGCTGATCTGGCACTTTTTCACCAGCACTAAATAGTTCACTTGGAAGCACCCCCTTACACACAGATGTATTCACTTGGCCGCTGCGGTTCATTACCTGCACAGAGGCCTAGCTGTGAAGGAGTCTTACACTCTCTTCTGTGCCTGTATCTTGTACTTGATATCAGCATTATTATGTATCGGGGTGGGAGTTCCCTGCCAACACCTCTTTTGATCACTGTGTAATACTTTTTTCTACACAAATTGCATATAGTC